ACAAAGGAAAGGGTAGATCATATGACTCTCTGAAGATTGGCTCTGGAAGCAGAGTAAATCTTCAGAGAGGTAGAGTTGCAGATCCTCAGCAGAAGGGGAACAACTGCTTGTCAACGGAGTATCCCAGCATTCCTTGAGTCACAGGTGGGACATGTCAGACTCAGTGCTCCCAGGTCCTGCTCCACGGCAGAGGCGTATTTAGGATCTTCCTAATATCTTGCTGACATTCATGTAAATATCAGTGTGCAGTAACTGGCTTCCTGGGGTTTTTGAAAACTACTTGAGGCTAATGTGGGCTTTGAGAACAATGACTACTGTCTGAACACTGTTACCTTCACAGGCTCCTTTCCCTGCATGTATAAAAGTTATGAGTAAAACATTACAATCATATTTCACTACTACTGCATGTTAAAACAAATATATTAACATCATATAGTAAAAATGTTTTCTTAACTTAAAAGTTCTTTTTTTTTTTCTCCTCTGATTTTGAAAGAAAGGAAAACATTTCCCTGGGCTCCTATCTTTGCCTAATGGCTAAATTGACCCTTTATACTTGTCACTGGCCAAAATGGCCTATTTTATGCAAAAGCTGGAAAACTTGTATTTGTATGTAGCTCGTGTTTAATAACTATGTATCTGTATTTTGACATGTTTGGTACAAGGTCTCACTATGCAGCTCAGACTCATAATGATCCTCCTGTTTTCAGCCTCCCCAATGCTGGGATCACAGGCATGCATCTCCCCCACCCCCCAGACACTGTGGCTGGCTCGGTGTGCCTGGTGGCAGGACCGGCAGGGCATGCAGTATCAGGGCTCGAACCCCGGTCCCTGCACTTGCCTAAGCAGGTGCTTAGTTTGCTGAGCTATCTGCTGGCCCATGTTCAATAAATATTAACTGATTAAAATATTCAGAGATATCAGACTGCTTTTTAACAAATGTGAGTATTTTTCTGTCTCTGCCCATGTCCATTTTGAATCTCTATTAGTTTGGTCTGAGAGTTTGACCCACAGACCAGAGGCCCGGGCAGCACTGGAAGCTTGTACGCAAATATCTGTTGCTCGCTAACACTATATCAGAATCAGCATCGTAACAACTCTCCAGGCAAATCATATACACAGTACGTCAAAGCACAGCTCACGTGTGATTTCAGTCTGGTCCTTCAACATCAGGAGCCCTGGGAGGGCTGATTCTCATCCGTGACAATGGCCTGGCCTTTGCCTGTCTCCCATGTGAGAAATTTAGTTCTTTAGCCCAGCTGCTCCCAACTGTGGTGTCAACTTGAATGGATTAAGAAAAGCCTACTGGATTAGTGGAACATGGCTTTGGTGTGTCTGGATGATTGAGCTGTGAGCTGCAAATGGAAGAGGGCAAACCCATCCGAGACGTGGGTGGCACTGTCTTTAGGCTTATGGTCTAGATGAGATAAGGAGAGAAAGAAGAAGGAAGTCTTCCCTTTTTGCTGATTAGGAGGCACTCGGGGCTTCACCATCACCTTTGGACATTTGTCTCTAGGCCTTTGGAGCAGGCTCTGGCTTTTGATAGGGACTTGCACTGGACTTAGTAATGAGCGCTAGGCTTCTGACTTTTGACGGGACCTTTTCACTATCTAGTGTACAGACAGCATATATAAATATATGCTTTAAAAACTTCTGATTCATTTGATTCTGTAGGTGGCCATTGTAAGGCATCTATTATTTACCTACTTTGTAAATTATCTATCTATCTATCTATCTATCTATCTATCTATCTATCTATCTATCTATCTATCATCTATCTGTCAGAGCTTACAAACACCTGAGCCCCACCTCTTGGATATTCTGAAATAACTAGTTTGATTGGGATCCTGGGGTTCAGTTTTATAAAGCTTCCCATGTGGTGCTAACACATAGCCAGGATGAGAACAACGACAAGCCTTTCCCTGAGAGATGTGTCCTCGTTTTTATCACGATGGCCATTTCTTTCTATGTCCCCTGAACTTCCTAGGTTGAACAACCCCCTGTACAATCTAGAACTACTGACTGACGTGTTCTACCGATTACATCAGAACTCTGAAGTATCCCTCAAATTAATGCTCCATGTTCCGAAATATTGACTGCCACCCGTTCCTGCATCCTTATTTGGTATCTGGCAATCGCTGTCATTTAATCTTCACAATGATGGTCTATAATATTGGTTATCTATCTATCTATCTATCTATCTATCTATCTATCTATCTATAATATTGGTTTGTTTATTTTACAGATGAAGAAGGCTTAGAAAAGTTGGATCTTCCCAAAGCCAGTCTATTTGGTTTTCTTTTCTTTCTTTCTTTTTTTGTATTTTTTTAGGGAAGGGTCTGCAGGATGTTCAGGGTCTCATTACTAGATCGGACTTGTAGTGATTCTCCTGTTTACAGCCTCCTGAGTGCTGGGATTACAGGTGCACGCCACCATGTCCAGTCTCAATTGCCATCTCAGTGCACCCGTGGGGGCAGGGCCGTCAGGGCAGGCCCGGGGATCGAACCCCAGCCCCCTGTGCCTGCTTGTAGGCACTTCAATCTACTGAGCTATTTGGCCATCCTAGCCAACCTATTTCTAGTTCTAAGGCTTGCTCATCCTCCACTACATATGCCACCTTCTAATCTTACACTTTCATTTAAGAAACATTAGTAATTTCTTAATTCATAAGGCCAAACATCAGAATTATAATTATGTACTTCTTGAGAATTATTGGCAAAAGAAATGGACTGATGGGTAAGAAAGAATTACATAGACAGTACAATTCAGACTGATTATATCCATCAGAAGACAGTTTGAAAATGGTGACACATTTTTTTCCTACCCTTACAACTGATGTGATGTGAAAGTTCAGTTAGAAAACAGAGATTAAACACTCCAGCGGTGCCCTGTGCTAACATGGTGCTGATTACAAGGGTAAAGGACAGTCTTTGTCCTTGAAATGGCAAGTTGTCCTTCAGAGGACAAGAACTTACCACAGTCCAACCTATGACAGTTTAATCAGGTGTCATGAAGATAAGGTCATGGTTCTCTGTCAAGGTTCAGAGGGTGGCAGAAACCAGGACAACGAAGGAAGGATTTACAGAAGAGGCTGTCTAGCATGAAGTCTAAGGATGACGGGAGATCGAATCTATTCTGACAGAGCTTAGCTGAGACGCTGGCATAATATTCACCAGGAAGCTGGAATCTTGCCAGCGGAGTCGCCCACCTGCTTTCTTGCTGGCTGAATGTTCCTTGGCTGTGAACTAAGAATATGTAGCCTTTGTCTGATTTCTAAACAAATGCTGTCCTAGCCCAGCTAAGTGTTATAATGTCCCCAGTGACCTATATCTGCCGCAGTGAAATCAATCAGAGGCAGAGGGCTATTTACACAACGGATGGTTCCCTGCCTCAGGCCTTCACCGGCTTCTTTTAAGGTTGCCCGAGCGCAGTTTGCTTAAGGTTTGAACCTAGAGAAGTTGAAAGCCAAGTACTTATTTAAATATTGATCAAGCTCAGCCCGAGAGAAAGCGAGAAAAGTACAGCTAGTAAGGTTACAGGTCCTCACATATCATGAAGAGCGTTTTATAATTACTGCTTGTGTTGGTTGGTTTCTTTTTCGTAGAGAAGGGATTTGGCGGTAACTTTGTACATTATTTGTTCTTCCCACATTACCTAATGGGGAAAAATAAAGAAAACAAAACTTAGAAAGATTTAAAATTGGTGCAGTGAAAAAGGAGAATAACAACAAAGGTTTCTTTTTTTTTTTTCCTTTTTTTTTAAACAAAGGCTTCTAATACATTGATATTTTTAACCAATTTGGAAACCATTTTTCTGTCGTGTGCTGATTCTGTTAATTCTCCTGTAGAAGCTGTAATGTTGGAAGTATTACTTTGTTTGAAAATAACGTACCTTGAAGTTTTGGGAATGGGCAGGAAATTTTTGGGTTGGGAGATTTTTGGGACAGAACCACTGAGAGGACAGTCCAAGTCCCGAGAGCAACGCCGCGGTCTGGCCCCTTGGTCAAGGGCCAGGGGCAGCCTTTGGCTGGGAACGGAGCTCAGAACCTCAAGTGCGGCCGCTCTTTGCTTCTTCTGGCTGCTATCAGGGAGGTGGGCTGGGAAGCAGCCAGGGCTGGGAGGGGGCGGCCAGGTGGGAAGGCAGCTCCTTTACTGGTGCCTTGGTAGCCAGCTTCCAGGGGCCACGACCCCACCCTGTGGGCAACCGGCCTTCTGAAGGGTGGTGACAGTGGGACAAAGCAGACACTCGAAATAGTTACAGAAAGAAAAATGGGTCATTTTGTCTTTACCTTTAAAGCTTCGGTAAGCATCTTCGATAAGTATTCATGGAGGCCTGTTGCCGGGAAAGCCTCCCGATTTGGGACTGCACTCAGCTCTAAGTGGAAAAGCGTGTTGGAGGCTAGAAGCCCCTCACTTTGTTCACTGTGAAAGTGGCTACGATTTCCACAGGCTTCCGAATCATGCAGACTTTAGCCATTGGCTTACATACTCGCGAAGAGCCACAGTTTGCAAAGCTCGGGGCCAGGGGAACACCAGTCTCACGAAATACGAGGGCGGCTGCTGGTTTTCAAATAATGCTTCCCATTGTAATAGACCCAGGCCGTATTGTGTCGCGGGTGTGGTGGCTTTTGGCTGAGCCCAGCCCCAGCCTCCCGCGGGCCTGGCAGAGCTCCTCTCCGGAGAGGCCTGGCCAGCCCCTTCCTCCCGCGGCGCCAAGGCGTGGGGGCCCCCGGGGCGCGCGGGCGCCGCCACGAGGGTGCAGCCCGGCCTAGCTCGGCGCTGCAGGCCCGCGCCCGCCTCGGCGCGTCCCGGAGCCCCAGCCGGGGGAGGGGAGCCAGGCGACCGGCGCGCCCGCGGCTTCAGGTTTCCTGCGGGAGCCGGTGTCGGGCGCTGCGGGCGGGCCCGGCCATGTGACACGAGCCAGCCGGGGAGGCGGGGGATCCAGTGGCCGCGGGCAGGCGAGGGGGGCGACAGCAGCGCGACGCGGCGGGCGGCCGGGCCCCGCGCTCCGCCCCCTCGCCGGGCGTCGGCAGCTCGCGGAGAGGCGGCAGCGGGGCCGGGGGCGCATTCGAGACGCCGGGGAGCAGCGCCTCGCCTGGGCTCCGGACGCCGCGGGGCTCCAGCTCCAGGTAAAGGGCCCTGGGGTGCATCCTCCTGCGATCGCTGCAGCCTGGGGTGGAAAAGTCTGCCCACCTGGGTCTGTGGGGTGCAAACTTTCTCCGGGGTCCCCAAGGACGCCGGGGTCCTTAGAGGTGGGAAAGGGGCGCTGCAGCGGGCTAGGCACCCGGAGGGGTGGGCGCCGCCTCCCGGCCCCTCGCGGGCGCAACAAGTGCAGCGGGCGGTGCAGCCACGCGCCGCGGCAGCTGCGGAGCGCACCGAGGAGGCGGCGACGGCGACCCCTGTCGTCTGCGTCGGCTGCGCTTGGGGACCGGGGCTGAGTCCTGAAGGGAGCCCGGGAAACACACGGCATGCCTGTGGCTAAGGGAGAGCCGTGAAAGCTGGGGTCCCGCCTTCCCATGGTTGCCTGTGCTCAGAGATGTAGGGGGCTTGGAGCCATCCCACAGTGCAGACCAAGTTTAGGCTCAGAAAGGGAACGCTGATATTTATTTCATGTGGAAACATTTGCTGTGTTTAAAAAAGCATTTGTGGACGTCTTGCTTAGGAGGGGCATCAGGATTCGGTGGGCCTCGTTGTGCTTTTTTACAGATTTGTTTTCCTTTAGGGTGTGTGGGTGCACATGAGAGTACCTTAACCCGGCTTCCTAAAGGTCATAATGACAGGTGGGGCTGAACGGGAAGGAATACTTGTCTGTTCAGGACCGCGTGGAGCTGGGCTCACGCCACCCTGGGAACCTGGCTGTGCTCTCCCAGACCCCAGCTAGATTTCCAAGAGCCCACTTTAGGGGCCCACAGCGCCCCCACTTGAGTTACAGCTGGGCAGGCTGAGGAAGGAGGCGACATCTGTCCAGTTTCTTCCTCCCTGCCCGCTGTCTGACTTTCAGTCCCCACAGACTATGAGTTTGGAGTCTTAGCACTAGACAATGCTGCTTGGGCAAAGAAATAGGGGGGAAAAAGCCGTTTGTAAAGAGCTGATCGTTTGAGGTCCCTTATGGCTCTCGGTTTTCTGAAGGTCCGTCCTGTGATATTTCTAGGCCCTGAAGCTGTCTAGGTCAGCACAATCCTGTTTTCAGAGCAGAAACAAATCAGACTGGCCGCTGTCAGATTCTGTCCCTGTCACATCCACTTTGCACACGATCATTCAAGCAGAGTGATTATTCCACCCGGAAAGGTTTCCCTCTCTTTGCCCTGGGTTTGTCATCGGAAGGTTAATGCAAATAGCTGTTTGTCTAGTCTTGACAAATGACCAACCTAACCTCTCTGGAGTAGCTGGAGAAAAAGGAAAGAATACTGTAAAGGTCTTCGGAATTTTTAGTGCAACCTAGGGTTTCGGTGTAATATTCAGAGATAGGCTTTATATTGATTGTGTGTGCTGTTTAATTTTGCTTGAAAAGGACCATGGAGAGCATCATGACCAGGTAGTGGCTGGGGAAACAGAGGCCCAGAGCTAGTTGTTTGGTGTGTGACTCACATGGAGTGTCCTGGCCAATGGGGGAACAGAGCACAGAGGATCAGTGTTTGTTCTGCTTTTGACTGTTTTCTTCCTTATCAAAAGCACATAATCTGGTCAATCAAGAGCAGGTTATGTAACAGATGTTTCATTAGGCTTTGCTGTGAAGTGCCGCTGTCCTCTAGGCATTCAGAAATACTTAAAGGTAAAGGAGAAAATAGTAGTGGGTAACAGGAATAGGTAAAGTTCTACGAAATTGAACCCAGGCCCTTCTCGGGTTTCACACTTTTTTTTCCTTTCTAAATTATGTGAATGATTTGAGGAGTCTGACATATTTTCTGATTGTGTTTTAGAAGAAATTACCCCTGTGGTTAAGACTTAAATTGGTCAGGAATTTCAGGTGAGCTCTGACATATGACCTTTAATATGCCACATGAGAAAGGAGGAAATGTGTTCTAGGAGGTGTTAAAGCGAATAGCAGACTATTTCATTACTTTTATGCTAAGCATTTTGTGCCAAACTGGTAACCCCTCTACTGGAATTTAACTAAATCCAGCGATCGAGTGCTGTCTCCAACAAAAGAACTGATGATCTAAATGGTGGGAAACCCTTTCCCTGCTGGGATGTGGCTAAGATGGTTCTCAAAAGAGGATACATTAGTCTCAAACTCCCAGGCTGCCTATAATTCTGTTATGCTTAATGTACTGATTTGATATAACAGATCTGGTTTATGTAGGTTTGGCCTAATTGTATTTGTGTTAGTGTTGCTTTTAGCGAGCACTGTAGCTGTATGACTCCCACCACCCGCCCCGTGACCCTAAATAAGATTTGTTGTGAAGAAGTGAGCCCTGCCGGACAACTTCTAGTGAGGGGGCTAAATTAAAAACAGTAATATGCTTGAAAAGCACCAAATTTAGGGAATTTGCCATGTTAGAGTTGGACCGTAAATGTTATGTGTTATGCCACTCTGTTCGGCTTAAGGCCAGATCTCTTGCTCAGGCAAAGCTGGGCTGAGACGCATTTTCCTTGCTTACAAAGTGTAACTCTGGCCTTGTACCTTAAAGCGTTGTGTCCTCACTGGAAGGTACTGTGTCACTGTGTCCAGTATCCAGCACTGCTGGTTCTTTTTGTTATTATGGGATGGTAAAGCAGTTCTTAAAAGCTCAAAGCAGTGTTACCCTGCTGTTTTTTTTTTTTTTTTTTTTTTTTCTGCGACCATCTATCACTGCTTCTATTTTGGGAATATTCCACCACTTACATTTATTTAACAAATATTTGTTGAAGATAGTTTCAGTGGTACGTAAACCTGTAAGCCCAGCACTCTGGGAGGCTGAGGCAGGAGGACTGCAAATCCTAGTCCAAACCTGGGCAATTTCCCAACTTAGAAAGACCATGCTTCAAAATAAAAATAAAGGGCTGCAGATGTGACTCAGTATGAGCACCCCGGGTACTGAAAAAAAGAATAACAACAACATACAAAACATAAAACATAAAACAAACAAACAAACAAAAAACCCAAAAGCAAATAAATATTTATTGAGGGCCTACTGTGTGCCTAAAATTTCTTTTTTTGCTTTACTTCTCTGGGCTGTTGATTCACGTAGAAGGTAACATTTCACAGGAGTTAGAGTTGCTAGGGTCCCTTACATTCTCAGAATAGGCTTTCATGGGCTGGGGAGATAGCTCAGTGGTCTAAGCGCCTGCCTAGCAAGTGCAAGGACTGGGGTTCAATGTCTAGTACCACATGCTGTGCTGGCCCCCTGAGACAGGAGGATCACTACGAGTTTGAGCTGTATAGCGAGACCCTGTACCAAATAAATAAATAAGTAAATAACTTAAAAAAAAAAAAAAGAGTAGGCTTTCACATATTCCATATTAAGACATCTGGCTGGTAAACTAAGTCCCATAACTTTTTTATGTGATAGTGCGTCTTAATTGACTCTTATTTTTCTCTTGAAATTTGATTACAAGCCCAGCTGTAATTCACTCATTAGTGCTATTGTGGCTCCTGGTCTCTTTCTCCTGGGTAGGCAAGATAATGAGGTTTGACAGCATTTTCAATATAAAGGATGGTGAAAAGGTAATGGAATTGAATATTGGGCACTTGTTCCAGTGATATTGGCCTCCAACAATTTTATCAAAAATGTATTTTTATTAATCTTTAGAGATTTATTGATCTTGTGCTAGTATTCTTCCTCAATTAGTAATAATTTTAGATTTGATTTCTATAGGGAGTTACCATAAAAGTGATTTTTTTTTTTAATGTATTTAGTACAGGGTCTACAGGGTCTCCCTACCCATATTGGACTCGTAGTGATCTTCCTGTTTTTCAGCCTCCCAAATGCTGGGATTACAGGTGTGTGCTACCATGCCCAATCTCAATCCCCGCTCAGCATGCCCTGTGGGCAGGGCTAGCACGGCAGGATGGGGATCAAACCCTGGTCCCTGTGTCTGCCTAAACAGGCACTTTTGGTCCGGCTGACCCAAAGTGGTATTGTTTTAGGAGGAGAAGAAAATGTGCATAGGAATGAGAGCCAGCACCGGTGGAAATCAGCAGTGGGACATTGGCTTTCCACAGTGCTGTCCCCAAGACACCCTTCTCCACCAACCAGAATGCAGATGTGGCTTTGTCTGAGTGCTGTTATGTGGCCAATTTGCCGTTTCAGAAATATATTCCTAACATGTTCATAGTCGTATGTATTTCCATTCAGTTTGCCCATCAACATTTCCTTAATAAATATGGTCAAGAGATATATTGCATACTTCAATGGTCATGGTTTAACTCTTAAATTCACTATCAAATACTGGTGAATATGCTCTTAGTGCTTAAGGTTTGCTGCTTTTCTTCCATCATTTTATAATTGAAATAAATTCTATTTCATAAGTTCTTAACAAAGTGGCTCTGATTGTGGACTGGGGAGCCAGACAGTCTGGGTTAGGCAGCCCTGACTTTGTCCTGGTTATGCGACCTTTCTCTACCTTTGGTTGTCTTTGTAAAATGGGGTAATGATAGTAACCTGCTTTATCAAGTTTTCAGTGAGTTAATTTATAGAGAGCTTTTCCAGTAGTGCCTGGCAGACAGTGTCAGAAAATGGTGGTGGTTAGATTGATAACTAATGGCAAATATTCCCTGAAAAAGCATAGTGGACCGGGGTGGATTGCTGTAGCAGATGTGTGGTCTGCGCACTTGAGGCCCTGGCTTTGAAGAGAGAGAGAGAGAGAGAAAGAGGGAGAGAAGAGACAACAATGACGAAACAGTAGTCACTACAGCAGGCTTTCTAGGTTTTAGAAAGCAGTGGGATATCAGCATGACCCAGGGGAAGTCGCCCTAGGCTGGAAGTCCAAGGCTGCTGTGGAGAGATCCTACTGACTTCTCAGCTATAACCTTGAGTAAGTAGGAACCCCTCCTGGTCTCAATTTCCTTATTCAGTAAAGCAGGAAGGATCAGATCGATGATCTCTGTGACCCTCTCGGCTTTAACCTTGTAGTAGTCATGAGATTTGAAAGTGAGGAGAGCATCTGCCAATTTCCCTTTCTTGTCTGGTCAATGCTGCTAGGAATG